TGGTGTGCAAAATATTCTGCACCCTCCGGCTTGAGGGGGAGTATTATGACTTGTATTGTTAGTTTGTACTGTTAGTCTGTTAGTTCATCGTTAGTTAGCAATAATTGTTAGTTTAGTCATTTAGTCAGGATGATGTGGCAGCGTCTTATTGGTTAAGTTAATTAGTTAGTCGGTTAGTGGCAGTGCTATATATAACTACCTGCACATTACCTATAATGAAAAAGAAGTTTCCATTTGTCTTTGAAAACGCTCTCTTCTTCTCCTCTCTAGAAGCTTCCTCCATTGAAGGACTTATCGAGCTTGAGGCTTCAAGTGCAGATTAGCACTGATTTTAGCAATTAGCAGTGAATAGTTTAGCTATTGATATATAGAACTTACAAGTGCAACAGCATCCCGAGCAGCAAGTGCCAAAATATCAGCACAAGAGACAACTCCAGGGCACAATATTCGATTTGCTTCCTAACAACGCCAATATATTACATAGAATGCGTGCAATGAGATGTTAGGAAGTTCATTTTTCTCTGCTTTGATGTTTCTTGTTGAGTTTAGCATCACAGAACCATCACAACTCTTTCATATACATAATACATATATAATTAGTTACTATGTATATAACTAGTAATCTCTTGTCCATCGTAAGCAAAACTATAGCATAAGATGATCACAATAAAAAGAAATACATCCTTGGCAAACTAAAATTAGATGATTATCAAGCGAGCTTGGCTTAAGTGATAAACGCCTCCAACTCCAGCCAAGGGCGTAAGTTAAAGAGCCTGTTTGGTTAAGCTGCAAAAAACTGCTTATTTTTAAAAGTATTTTTGTTTAAAAATGCTTCAAAAAAGTACTTTTGCAAAGTAGCGGTTTGTGTTTCCCCAATTCATTGAGTAGTACTTTTTGCAAGCAAATTGTGTTTGAACAATCATGTCAAAAAGCACTTTTGAGTATCAAATTACAAAAAAAGACCATAAAAGTTTTGCAAATAATATTATTTAAAGAGATAAATAAATTTAAATATTTATTATAATAAAAATATAATTTAAATATTTTAATCAATATAAAATATAGTTATAACGATAATATTGGGCATATAGTATATCACTTATTGTTTACATGAGGATTTTTATCAAAATACATCAATCAATATAAATTAAAAATATACTTTTATAAATCAGTATATAAAAGAAGAGAATTATTTATATTAGAGAGAATATCCAGAGAGAAATATGAGAAGGGGAATAAAAATATAATACTAGAATAACAAAGAGACGAAATGTATGGTAAAATGAAAAAAGGAAAATAGAAAATAAATGAGGGATACTTTGGAAAATGTAAATTCAATGTAAGGATATTTTTGTCTTGAAAATTAATTTTCTGTTTCTGCTTATGCTTCTACTTCTTGAAAAAAACTATAATTTATAGCTTCTCCCAAAAATAAAAAAATTACTTCTGCTTCTGTTCAAAAGCACAAACATCCTAAATTTTTCATAAAATATTTTTTGACAAAAAAATTACTTTTTTTTCCAGAAGCTTGGCCACACAGGTTCTGAGATAAGAAAGTTCAACTGAATCCCCTCCTTCGAAAAATTATATGTGTAAATAGAGCAAAACAGAGAAGTGGAAAATTTACTCTGACGAAACAATCATGGAATTGCATCCTTAAAAAGAGCAGCAGGAACTGTTTTGTCATTCACCATAGCTTTCTTGACAACTTTGGTGATGGTTGACTCGGTCTATGCGCATGTATTCTCATAGTAATTTGAGCTCAGTGCCTTCACTGCAGTACCGGAAAACAATGAAAAAGCAAAGACTAAGGTTGTGTTTGGTACGAAGAAAAATATTTTCCGAAAAATGATTTCTAATTTTTTCATGTTTAGTTGGCTTAAATATTTTAAAAATATTTTCCTTAGGAACTCATTTTCCTCTAATTGGAGGAAAATGTTTTCCTTATCAAGAAAAGGGAAAACATTTTTCAAAACACCTTCTCCGCCTTCCCAACCTATTCCTCACCTTCACCAACCCACCCCATAC